TGGACGATCAGCACAACTGCACATCTGGCCAGCTCTGGAAACCCTGGGTACGCCACCGTTGGCTTTTCTTTTAGGGTGTCAGCCTGCACTTGTCCAAGGCTTCCAACGGCGAAGCCGCCCGCCTTCGTTCCACTTCCGCCAGATTCCGCGGGCCTTCTGCTGGCTCTCCGCCGCATGCGAGATGCCGATGAACTTTCGGAGGTCCGCGCGGATTTCTTGGGTCGGCGCGGCCCCAGGGTGTGTTTGTGTGTTCTCAAATGGAGTCCGAACGGATGGGGTCGGAAAACCGCGCCGCATCGCCGGTGCATCGCCGATGCATCGGCGATGCATTGGCGACGTCGGCGATGCATCGGCGACGCCAGCGTGGAGAACATCGGGTCCCGCATCGAGCCGCATCGCCAGCGTGTCGGCGATGCGGCGCGATCCTCCGACCTCCTCTGCTCGAACCCCATCTGGGAGGCCTGGACTTGCCCAGAGCCGCGGCCGCGCAGCCCGAAAGCGGCAGGCCGCGCATCCCGGCGCGGGGCAGCGCGCCTCCATCGATTCTCCCGAATCGACGGGAGGCGGGGGGTGGGGTCGGCGAATTCCGAGCTCAACCTCCGCTGTGAACGGAGGTTACGAACCGAAGGGTCGAACCTACCGTCGAATCCGTTGGTAAAGCATGAGATGAGAGAATGGAAGCGTCCTTCTCCCTGTCACGGCCCGATAGTCATCGGACACGCTGTCCAATACCTTGAGCCAAGAGGATTGCAGGATGGATGGGTAGAAGGAGGAGAGGAGCGGTCTTCACACACACACATCCGCCTCCCATCGAGTTGCCTGAATCGTTGATCGGTGACGGCAAGGTTCGGATGTCGCAACCGATCAATTGGGTTGACCTGTCGATCCGCTGGCCCCCCCTCCCGGAAGTCTCGACTGCGTCCCCGTGGGGCAATGCCCCATCCCGGCTTCCTTCGTGGTGAACCCGGTGTCCGAAAACTGCCCCTGGAGGCCGAGCTGGAGGAAGGAGCAGGGGATTGACAGAAGCAATTCGCCAGGAGCGAATATTTCCTGTGCCAAAGTATCCATGGGGAGGCGCCACATGAGACCGGCGAGTGCAGTCAAGAGTCCGGCGGAGGGAGGAGAACGATCGATAGGAGATCGGACGCTCGGCTGGCGAACGTCGTGGCCAGTAACATCATCTCGACTGCGAGGAGGTGGAGGAGGAGGAGGATGAGGAGGAGGATAGATGATAGAGGATGAGGATGGAGGATAGAGGAGGAGGACGAGGAGGAGGAGGAGGAGGAGGAGGAGGAGGAGGAGGAGGAACGCGGCCGAAAGGCGAGCTCCATGACCGCGCGGACCCCTGCAGGGAGGGCCAGGCCCACGCGCTCTGGTGCCGCACGCGCAGCAGAGGAACCAGAAGGCGAAGGGCAGGGCAAGGCAGAACAGCACGAAGACAAATACACAACTCGGTCACCAGAAGAGGAAAAAGCGCCATAAACATAAACTTTTGGCGCTCCGCGCGGATTTCTTGGATCTGCGCTGGACCCCCCCCCCTCGGCAGCGCCTCTGGCGCGGCCCCTGGCGCGCTCCGCGCGCCAGGGAGGGGGGTCCAGCGCAGATCTAAGAAATCCGCGCGGAGCGCCAACAATTTATGTTTATGGCGCCTATTCTTCTTCGAATCACCTTTAACCCGGCGAGAGACCGGCACGCGCCTCACAGCGGCCAGCCTAGCGCGCAACCCGGGAGGGATAGGCTGCCCGGCGCACCGCCTGCACCCCAGTCCACGCCAGGCTCCGGAGATTTGGCGACATGCTCCGAAATCTTGGTTGGTGGCCATCTCGTCCTCGCTAGCATCGATGTCGCCAGGCTTTGGGTCGCCAGCGTCAGAGGAGGAGGAGGAGGAGGAGGAGGAGGAGGAGGAGGAGGAGGAGGAGGAGGAGGTCATCGACGCGGTCGAACCTGGAACAGCCGATCCTGCGCGATGGCGGGCCCGCACTCGGAGGCGCGCCGCTGGCATCGACCAGCCTCCCCTCTGGGTGCAGGAGTGCGCCGTCTACATTGTGGTACGATTCGGCGGCGCCTTCTCAGGAGGCGGCGGGGGTGTTCTCAGAAACGCCCCGGCCTTCTGAGAGGTCTTCTGTGTCTTCGGGGAAAGCTAACAAGAACTTCTCAAAGGCCAGGGGACTGCCGAGCCTTCTGAGCAGGCCCGCCCCTTCTCACTGCCCCACCGGGCTCGCCGCCGAACGATTGCCCAAAATTGCAAGGCCGCCTCGTCTGTCCTACACTCGGGCCCCTTTTATGAAGAATAAGGCACAAACAGACACCGACCGCGCGCACCAGGCACACTTGACAGCGACGGGCCGCCATCCAGCATTGACCAGCCCTCCCTCCACTCCTCCCACCAGGGCTGGACCAAAACATCGTGTTTCGTTTTCGTTTTGTTTTCGTTTCCCCCTTCTTCTGGTACTTCTCCTCCGGGCTCCTGTCCAAGGCGTTCCTTTGCATGCACTTCGCTTTCGGCACCGCCTGATCCCGGGGCTTTGCCCTCTCTTGGCCTTGACGTGAGGCCCCGCCTTCTCTTCTCCTTCCTCTGTTAATCAAAACTGTGCGCGGCCCGTTTAGCTTTCAGCGGAAGAGGTTCGCTCTCGCCCTGCAGATAAAAAACAGATTTTCGTTTCCCCTGATTTCGTCTCCGTTCCGCGCGTGCCGCAGCACGACACCGAAGCGAGCACGGCCCACAGAGCCGCCCAAACACACCGTTCACAGGTGGTCGACCCACGCAGCCCACGGCCGCGGAAGGTCCGGGCCGCAGAGCCCCCGGCGCGTCCTCCGAGGAGCACTGCGGTACAGCGGAGGCCAGGCCCCCTCGAGCCATGGAAAAATCACGACGGGAGGTTCTTCATGATTTTTGGCCTCTGGGGGCCCTTACCGGGCCTCGGGACCGTCAAGAAACGACTCAGAATGAAAAACCGGCCCCGGGGAATGGGTCCAGACCTCTGGGGGTCGACGTCATGAAAAAATCATGACGTCGGGGGTCTGGGGAGGCCAGTCCACGAGAAACCTTCCACAGGAAACCCAACCCTGAGACCCCAGGGCGTCCATTTGACTTCTGGTGTGGGCGCGTGACGCTCTCCACCGCCACACCATCGACACCCGAGAAGTCCACGGCACCCCGGAGCCGAGCAGGGCGCTTCTCGGCATGGGCTTCCGCTGTACCTGGGCCCTCGTGCTCACGAGCTGCTCATCGACCTCGTCCGCTGGCTGGTCCACGAACGGGGCAGTGGACTCTTCCACAGCGTCGAGGGGCAAGTTCTGCAGGGCACCGAAGGCGTCGTCGTCATAGCCCCTGGGAGCGTCGACGCTATCACCTGCATGACGAAACCTGTGACTTTGTCAGCCTGGGCGGGCCAGGGGTGGCCCACGTGTGGTAGCATGGGGTAGCGAGCTGGAACCACGTGTTTTCACGTGCCCAAGCCACCCAGAGGGATATCTAACATGGTTGCCTCGAGCTGGGACCACGTGCTTTTACGTGTCCAGGCCTTCCAAGGGGGTACCTAACATGTAGTCGTCTGGGCGCCCTCAGCGGTGGGTCCCACAAGAGCCAGACAAAATCAATACATCGACACCAGATGTATTATAACCTGACACAGATTCTTCGGTGGGTGATTTTCAAGACTTCAAATTGGGGCATATAAAATGGTGATCCCGAGCTGGAACCATGTGTTTTCACGTGTCCAAGCCACCCAGGTGAGTATCTAACATAATGGCCCCGAGCTCGAACCGCGGTCGCGGTCGTCGCCGTCCACCGTCGTTGTCGTCGTCGGCGTTTCGGCCCGCCCTTCTCGATGCATGTCGCCTCGGCTTGGATTCGCCATTCTCATTTCGACCTGTTGCGGAACATAATCCTTTCATAAGGCGCCCAGGCAGCTCGAGCTTGAGACCCAGCTCATTCCTGTCAGGATTCGGATGCCAGGGAAGATTTGATCCACGACGCAACAAGGCACAGAACTGTTCAGATTCGCCCCCTTTCGGTTCGTCACGCTTCCGAACTTCCGAACTGAAGCGGATCTTGAGATCGAGCTGGTCGAGCGCCCCGCGCGTTTCGATTGCGGCCAGATCTGAATTATGCGTCCAGGCAGCTCGAGCTTGAGATCCAAATCGGTTCGATTGGGGATCTGACGCCACGGACGATCTGATCCACAGTGCAGTAGAACACGGCACTTCAGCGCGGCATGGCGCGTCTCAGTTCATCACAGCACAGCACAGCACAACAGAGGAGGAGGAGGAGGAGGAGGAGGAGGAGGAAGAGGAGGAGGAGGAGGAGGAGGAGGACTGCCCCTGACACTGCACATCACCATCACTACCCTGCGCATTGCAATCGCCCGTCGATGACCATCATGCTGCGGCGACGGACGGCGGCGACGGGCGGACCCAGGCTGGCCAGACCGGCGCACAGTCTCAGCTGCGAGCCGGGCACAAGCTCAACATCGTGACCAACACGGTGCGGCGACGGGCGGCCAGTAGGCGGCCGGACCGACGCACAGGCTCAGTTCATTGTGAGCAAGCCCTGTTTGGGAAATGGGAGACACCGATCCAGCTAAGCACATAGCCAGACAGCCGACGGCCGCGTCTTGAGCAAAACATGGCAACGGGGGCAGAGGAGGCGGAGGAGGAGGATGAGGAGGGGGTGAACCAGCCGTCAGCGTCAGCGTCACGACGGAGGAGGAACAGGAGGAGGAGGAGAAGGAGGGAAGGAGGAAGGGGAGGAGGAAGGAAGAGCTCGCGCGCAGCCCCGCGGGCGCGCCGCCCCCTGTGCCGGCGCCCCTGCGAGAGCATCGAGTGGCGCTGCGCCCCAGCAAACGCTGGCCGCCTTCTCCGCGCGCGCCCAGCGAGCGGGCGCGCGCGCCCCGCGAGAAGGCCGGCCCTTCCCCACAAGGCGAAAAGATCGCACAGGTGGCCTGCCTGTCTGGCCGCAGCGGTCTCCTCCCCCCATTCCCTCTCCCTTCTCCTCTGCCCCTGCTCCCCCCCGCGGCGCGTGCGAGGCATGCCCTCGCGAGACTGGCGAGCGCAGCGTGGGCGTGTGTGCCCGCGCCCCCCGTCCCGCTGGATGGACTGCTCGCGGGCCCCCCGCGCAGTTCGCTCCCCCCTCAGGCGCTGCAGCCTACGCATTCGTACTTCGGCGCGCTCTCCTTCAGTGCGTCGATGGCCCGCTTCTCCGCCGTCTGCGCCTCCCTGGGGGGCGCGCCCGCGGCAGCAGCGGCAGCACCTGCCGGATAGCCGCCCGAGCTCTCCGCCAGCGCCGGGCTGGTGTTCGCGCGCTTCACCTTGTCCACATCCACGGTGAACTTGATCGCCTCTGTGGCGGCCTTGGTGCGCAGGTAGTACATGCCGGTCTTGAGCCCCAGCTGCCAGCCGTGGAAGTGCATGGAGGCCAGCTTGGAGGGTGACGCGTCGACCATGTGGATATTCAGCGACTGCGACTGGTCGATGTACTTCCCACGGTCTGCGGCCATGTCGAGCACCACCCTCTGCTTGATCTCCCAGACCGTCTTGTAGAGCTCCTTCAGGTCGGCTGGGAGGTCAAGGCCCTGCACGCTGCCGTTGTGCGCGATCAGCTGCATGCGCATGTCTTCCGTCCACAGCTCTCGCCGGACCAGATCGCGGAGGAGGTGCCTGTTCACGGTCACGAACTCGCCAGACAGCACCCGGCGCACGTACAGGTTCTGCGTGTACGGCTCGAACGACTCGTTGTTCCCCAGGATCTGCGCCGTGCTCGCAGTCGGCATGGGGGCGACCAACAGAGAGTTCCTCAGGCCGTGCTTGGCAATCTTCTCCTTCAGGCTGGCCCAGTCCCAGCGTCCACTCTTGGGCGTCTGCTTCCACAGGTCGAACTGCAGCAAGCCACGGCTCGCGGGTGAGCCCGTGAAAGTCTCGTACGGCCCGTCCCTCTCCGCCAGCTCGCAGGAGGCCTCGCAGGCCGCGAAGTAGATGGTCTCGAACACGTCCTCGTTGAGCCTCTTCGCGACCTCGCCCTCGAAAGGGAGCCGCATCATCATAAAGGCGTCGGCCAAACCCTGCACCCCGAGGCCGATGGGGCGGTGCTTCATGTTGGAGGACCTGGCCTCCTGGACGGGGTAGAAGTTCCGATCGATTACCCTGTTCAGATTCACAGTCGCCACCTTCGTGACCCGGTACAGCTCCTGGAAATCGTAGTCCTCCACGCGGTCGCTCTTGACGAAAGCCGGCAACGCAATCGACGCCAGGTTGCACACGGCCACCTCGCTGGGTGACGTGTACTCGATGATCTCGGTGCAGAGGTTGGAGCAGTGGATTGTGCCCAGGTTCTGCTGGTTGGACTTCCTGTTCGCGTGGTCCTTATAGAGCATGTACGGCGTGCCAGTCTCCATCTGCGCCTCGACAATGCGGGACCAGAGGCTCTGGGCTTTCACCGTCTTGCGACCCCTGCCGTCCCTCTCGAGCTGCGTGTACATCTCCTCGAACTCCTCGCCGTAGACGTCCATCAAGCCCCTGGACGTCTCCTTGTCGTACGCCTCGTTGGGGCAGAAAAGCGTCCAATTGCCGTCTTCCTTTACGCGGCGCATGAACAAATCTGGGATCCACAGGCCGTAGAACAGGTCCCGGGCGCGCTGCTCCTCCTTGCCGTGGTTCTTGCGCAACTCCAAGAAGTCGAAGACGTCCGCGTGCCACGGCTCCAGGTACATTGCGAACGAGCCCTTTCGCTTGCCGCCGCCCTGGTCAACGTAGCGCGCAGTTTCGTTGAAGTTGCGCAGCATCGGCACCAGTCCATTACTCTGGCCGTTGGTGCCACGGATGTAACTGCCCTTCGCGCGCACGTTCGACACCGCGACGCCGATGCCGCCCGCGCACTTGGAGATCATCGCGCACTGTTTCAGCGTGTCGTAGATGCCCTCGATGCTGTCGTCCTTCATGGTGAGCAGGAAGCAGGACGACATCTGCGGAGTAGGCGTCCCTGCATTGAAGAGCGTCGGCGTCGCGTGCGTCATCTTGCGCAGCGACATCAGATCGTACGTCTCCACCGCCGCCTCGACGTTGCCGCAGTGAATGCCGCAAGCCACCCGCATGAGCATGTGCTGAGGCCGCTCGACGATCTTCCCGTTCACGCGCAGCAGGTAGGACTTCTCTAGCGTCTTGAAGCCGAAGTCCACCGACCCCCGCTTGCCGGGGGTGAAAAGGCGTGAGAGACATTTGGCTGCCCCCTTTTCGCTTTCCCCCTCCTCGGGGGTCCAAAATCCTGTTCAAGGAGGGGGGATGGGCGGGATGAGCTCGTCAATGCACCCGGGGAGCTCTGCGGAACCTCCAGGGAGCCCCAACGCGGCCCAAGAGGGCCCAAGGAGAGCGCCGATACAGTCCAAGAGAGCGTCGAGACGGCCAAGACGCATTTTAAGACAGCCCACGAAGCCAAATACTGCTCCCAGAGTGTCGCCGAGAGGGCCACAAGACGCAAACGTCGTCCCATTTGCTGAAGGAAGCGCGCATTTTCGACATACCCGCCTATTTCGATTTGACAGCGTCCAATGCGGCCCAAGCAAGACGGCCCATGAGGCCCCCAGGAGGGTCCGAAGGCGGCCCAATACAGCTCCAAAATGGCCCAAGAGGACCCCAAGACGGCCCCAGGGGCCCCTACGACGCCCCGCGAGGGCCCCGAGCAAGGCAATACGAACTAACATCTCGAGCATTTCCCCCCGTCGTGGCCCCAGAAGCCCTCCAGAGACAGCCGAGGCGCCCCCACGAGGCCAAGAGGCTTCCAAGAGGTCCACAAGAGGCCCCCCAACGGCCCCCAAGGGGCTCCAAAAAGCCAACCAGGTGCCCGCCAAAGCCGTTCAAGTGGCACCTGAGAGCCATCCCAAGAGACCCTCATATGCGTCTCAGAGGCTCTTCCACAAAGCTCCCAGCCAGGCCCACGAGCCCACTGCGAGCCGACACAAGGCTCCCCAGAGCCTCCACCGGAGGCCTCCCCGGAGCCCTCAAGCAGCGAGGTGACAAACCCCAGCAGCCCCTCCTTGCACCCCCAAACTCCTTCCATCCTCCCTCCGCTCCTCCTCCTCCTTCTCTTCCTCCTCCTCCTCCTCCTCCACCACCTTCTTCTCCTCTACCTTTGCGGGCGTGAACAAGACCCTGCCACTCCAGCTCCAACATAGCCTACCGAACGCCCTGGACGGCTCTGCGTGAACAAGACCCTGCCACTCCAACTCCAACATAGCCTACCAAACGCCCTGGACGTCTCTACTCCGCTGCTCCGCCGGGGGTCGGCGGAACGGCGCAAGCCACTTGAATAATCGTAGTCGCTGTCCCTCTGGTACTGGACGGCAGCATCCAGACGCTCGGAGTTCTCCTGGATGAAGCTGTGGACATCTTCCGCGATGAGCGTGGCTGGCCGACCCTGAGCGTCCCGATACTCGTAGAGCACGCGGCACGTCTCAGAGAAGGAGCTCGACGTGTTCTTGTGCAGGTTCGAGACCGCGATGCGGGCGGCGAGAGTCGAGAAGTCGGGGTGCTTCTGGGACATGTATGCGCAGGTCTCGGCAGCGAGCACGTCGATCTCCGACGTAGAGATCCCCGCGTAGAAGCCCTCGATCACCTTCTGCGTGATGGGCACTGGGTCCACGTACTTGGGCTCGAGGCCACTGCACAGCGCCCTGATCCGCTTCGTGATGTTGTCGAACTTGACCTCCTGCTGCTGCCCGTCGCGCTTCACCACGTACATCTGCTGCGGGGCCGCCATGGCAGCAGGTGCTCTCTGTCGGGAGGGGGGGTGATCGGCGATCTCGCTCTCGGCCCCTGCGCCCCAACGGCCACGGGCGGAAGGAGCGCCCTGGAGTGTCCTGGGCGCCACAGGCTATACGTGGCTAGCCACGGACGGACGGAGGGAGGACGAGCAGGAAGAGGAGGAGAGCGAAGGGAGGGAGGGAAGGACGAGGGAGGAGCTCGTTCGCAGCCCCGCGGGCGCGCGGCCCCAGGAGGATGCACACGAGGAGGAGGAGCAGGAGGAGGAGGAGGAGGAGGAGGAGGAGGAGGAGGAGGATGAGAAGGAGGGGGAGGAGGAGGAGGAGGAGGAGAAGGAGGAGGAGGAGGAGGAGTAGGAGTGAGAGGGGGTGGAGGCGGGAGGGAGGAGGAGGAGGAGGAGGAGGAGGAGGAGGAGGAGGAGGAGGAGGAGGAGGACAAGTGTAAACCCAAGAGGCATCAACGATTTTGTAATCAACCCTCCCTCCAAGCTCCCTCTTCATCATAGGCCTCCACAACGGTTCATTTCCACTGAGTGAACTGCCTCGTTGGAAGACAACCGTTGGAAGGCCCTGAAGCATGCCAGAACATGGTTCTCGGGATTCCGACGCCACGGATCAATCTGGCTGTTGCGATTTGACGAGCCTGAATCGTTCCAGAACGCCATTCGTGGGACTTCAATACCGCGAACCAGCGTAACTGTTGCACTATCATAATCTGGAGTCGTTCCAAAACACCATATGGTACGCTGATCATGGGAATCCGTGAAACCCTTGCACACTGAACAACAAATGTTCGCGGCGCCAAAGCGAGAACCACATGTTGAAAAGGAACCTCCCTCAATCCGTGAACCCCTTGCATTTGTTGGAACGAAAGTGCGTGGCGCTAAAGCGAGATCCACATTTAAGCAACCCGACCTCAATCCGTGAAGCTCGTACGAATTTGTAACACAGATATGCGCGGCGCTAAGGCGGGAACCACATCTTGAAAACGACCCGCCCTCACCCTGTGAAACTGCTGCCATGCTTTAAACGTCCGGGCCAAACATGGTGAGGAAGTCACAAGCGAACCGCCCGGCCCGCCCTACAAACTAACCTAGGGGTGCGGCAAGGAGAAATTATGTGCAAGGAAAACATGATCGACCCACGAACCCGGAAAGGAATATAGAACTGTCACACATGGAGGCGTTTTCAAAGACACCTGATTGGGTGACGGGCAAATGCAATGCTGAGTGTATCGATCTTGATGTACCCTGCCGAGGGCTGTGCTGTGCTGCACCGTGCTGAATTCCGATGTGCCATGCCGCGAATGTGCTCTATAGCGTCATGGATCGAGTCCTCCTTTGCATCCGAGTCCTGACCGAACTGATCTGGATCTTAAGCTCGAGCTGCCTGAACACAGAGCAGCTGCCCCAGAGCTGATGCACAGGGGAGCATGTCAGGAGGACGCGCCGCGAAACGTCCCAAGGGATGCGTCAGGCGACGTGCCAGGGGACATGCCATGGGGTCGCACCGCGGGACGTGCCAAGGGGACGCGCTACGGAACGTGCCAATGGATGTGCCACGGGATGTGCCAGGGGACGCGCCACGCGACGTGCCAGGGAGACTCGCCAAGGGACGCGCCACGAAACGTGCCAAGTTGCAATGCTGAGTGTATCGATCTTTATGTACCGTGCCGAAATATGTGCTGTGCTGCGCCGTGCTGAATTGCGATGCGCCATGCCGCGATTGTGCTCTATAGCCTCGTGGATCGAGTCCTCCTTTGCATCCGAGTCCTGACCGAGCTGATCTCGATCTTAAGCTCCAGCTGCCTGAACACAGAGTAGCTGCCCCAGAGCTAATTGACAGGGGGACATGCCAGGAGGACGCGCCGCGGAACGTCTCAAGGGACGCGCCCAGCGACGTGCCAAGGGACGAGCCATGGGGACGCACCGCGGGACGTGCCAAGGGGACGCCTACGGAACGTGCTGAGGTACAAGCGTTTCGCGCCTACTCGAGACATCCTCTCAAAATCCAAGGAAATCCTGGCAAAACAACCGAATTAGTCGAGACATCCTCGAAATTCCTGCGCGCGGGACGCGGCACGCGCGAGACATCCTCGGAATTCCTGCGAGAGGGACGTGAAAACAAGCATTTTGCCGGAGACATCCTCTGAATTTCTGGCCCCCCACGAGGCCCCCGCTCGAGACATCCCCCAATTTTGCAAAACCAGTGTTTCGCTCGAGACATCCTCAACAAATAATGAAAATGTTGCAAAACCAACGTTTCGCTCGAAACATCCTCAACCAATTATGAAAAAAAACTAGCATTTCGCTCGAGACATCCTGCCAAAATTCAAAGGAATCATAAAAAACAAACGAATTAGTCGAGACATCCTCGAAATTCCTGCGCGCGGGACGCGGCACGCGCGAGACCTCCTCGGAATTCCTGCGCGCGGGGCGCTTTTGCGTGTCGCGGTCGGCTCTGCAAAAATTCTGAAAACAAGCGTTTCGCTCGAGACATCCCCAACTCTGCAAAACCAGCGTTTCGCTCGAGACATCCTCAACAAATTCTGAAAAACAAGCGTTTCGCTCGAGACGTCCTCCCAATTAATTCCGCCGGCCCACCTCGACCTCGATATTTATCAGAGAATAATTCCGCCGGCCCGCCTCAAGTCAGGTCCGGGGGTAAACCTATAAAAGAGAACCCTGGGCCTAAGCCCTTTCAGGGAAAAAGCAAACCTCCCAAGAGAGGGCCCAGAGGGGGAACACGAACCGATATTTCAAGCCTTCGCCCTTCAGAGGCTCCCTGGAAGCCCCACGAGACCCCCAAGAGGCCACAACAGGCCCCCAAGAGGCCCTCAGCGGCCCCCAGGGAGCCCCCCAGAGGTCCCCAGGCGGCCACAGGAGGCCCCCAAAAGGATCCCAAGAGGCCTCAAGACTGCTCCCCAGGAGGTCAACCGAGTTTTATATCTAACGCCCGAGCTCTACATCTCAACTGCTTGAGGATGTTAAGACGAGCGTGAAAGAAAACCGCGCGAAGATTTCGCGATCCCTCCGATGTGGGACCGCGGGTCGTCCTAAGACGAAGCCAGAACGATGACGAGGAAGAGAAGAAGGAGGAGGAAAGAAGCGAGGAGTCCTCGGAAATTATTCTGCCTCCCAAGCGCCCCCGAGCCGCCTGCCAAGGAACCCAAACCCCAGCAGCGCCGCGTTGACACCGATCCCTCAGCCAAACGGCAAAGATGAGGCTGTATGGGCCAGCGGAATGAGCGAAGCGATTGAATCAGAGATTTCATACGGGAAACCAATACTTTTTTGGATTGACGCGCTCTCGGGGATAAGTAGGGGGGTGTACCTGAGCCCCAAAAGTGGTAAGTTTCCAAATGAAA